GGTTGTCACCGACGGAAGAGGATTGAACAGAGTAGCAGTCACCGGCCTGGTTTCAACAATGTCCGGGGCGGACTTTGCACATGCCCGAGCTCCGTAGAATGCAAATTCGTTGTACTCTATCATGATCGAGGGATTCTGTGAGCGCATGTCGCGTTGGGCCATTGAAACCCTTGTCCATTCAGACCAGCACAGGGGGTCGAGAAAGACGAACGCAGGCCCGTCGCAAATGATTGCACAGTCCGTCGTTATCGAATGATCGATGGGGAAAAAGTTCATATTGCTGATGAATTTTATCGGAGTGCGGACGTATGGTATATCCCCAGGTCGACTGCTTTTCCAATAGGCCAAAAAATTGAAGGACACCTTGATTCGGTATCCGGCTATTTGCCCGTACTTGTCCTTGGGCGGCACTCGACGCTGTATTCCTGTGAGCCTCGTTGCGTTCAAAGTGCCGTTGGACGGAACGTGGATGACGGGATATCCTATACGGTGGCCGAACATCATGGGCTCTGTTGGCAGGCCAGCCCATCCCAGCGTTGCTGTTGACGTCGAGGTCAAAGTCGACGTTGATGTCAGGGTCGGCTCCGGCGAGAACAGGGAGCTGGTATTTTGTTGAAAGGATGTGAAAACCGGAGGAGTGGTGCTTGTCGCAGATGGTGTTTCGACCGATGAGAATTCAAGAGCCGTGGACGATGCGTCTTCAACAGCTCTCGCCTTGCGACGGCCTGGCGCTAGAAAGGGGCCAAATGACCCGCTGCCATCTTCGTATCCATACTCATTGAGGACGGGGAGTCGGTCCTCCGCAATCGTGATAGTCCGGAACCCATATTCCAACGCTACGATCAGACCAATGATACTAGCACGATCAATCTTGTCAGCGTGCCTTGATCATAGGTAGACTGAAAGCCATGAAAGCCACGTACTAGAGACCGAGTATGACCAAGAAAGGGGTTCTGAGAACCAGAGGCTTCGAGTTGTCGAGGTCCTCGTCTGATTGTTGCGACCGAGTATCACTCGATGTCGACGATCTAGGCCGGAAGGCCTTGAAGGGGCCTTTCATGATCCTGGACATGGCCGGCTTACAACAAGGGCGCTGGTTGTCGCGAGATCCAAAACGACAAGAGACTCGGGGTCAGGCGTGACAGAAGCCTGCTCCCTTGTATACCCGCGAAGAAGGGGAGAGCCATCGTGACAACTTGAGTCGTTTGGGGGCCATCGCTATGCCTTTATTCAAGATCCTTGCGCATCTGTTCATCAATGCAACTACAACATCGCGTCTAAGCGACCAGAATGCGACCTAAGGGACAAGAGAGCCGCGAGGTACCGGCAGGAAACTTTATGCATCCGGTTGGCTAGGGCTGCAGTTTTGGGTCAGTACTAGCCAAGCATGTGTTGGTCTCTCTGCTGCTTACCATTTTTGAGGCACAGCCTCGAGATATATACCCATGTATCGTTCTGGTAGTGGCTCGCTTGGGCTGAATAACCGCTCGGGTAAAAAATCTAGTACGGTAGACAAGGTCATGTCGGCGTGCAACTGTGACGCCAGGCAGCCTTGCGGAATAGGGAAAGGTTTCTCGGCGCCGACGACCCTTCGTCAACCTATAGAATGGTACGTTGGCCGGACTACCGTACATAGAGAGTATAGGGTGCGGCGCAGTGCAGACAAAGGTACCTACATTTAGAGGCAAGCCAGACAAAGATACCGGCTTTTGCTTTTGAGACTAGAGAGTCTCGAGGTGACTGTGTTGAAGTCAACTGTTGGAGTGATTGAGAAAGTTTGGGGGCTAACCTCCACTTCCGTCCTCCCCGCCCGCTTCCCCTTGTCCGCTCAGCCCCCACATGGACTCCTCGCCGACCCTAGCACCTTCTTGTTAGAAGTTTTGAACCAGCCAGTGATGAGGTTCTGCCCATCCATCCAAATATTGGAGAGCATTGCAAGTACAATCACGTCACAACAAGCAAATTGAGATCGGAATCTTCCCTAAACTCCCCAAATAGTGTCGTAAACCTCATATACATCATGTCAATTTGAAGCCCATAGCCCATCCACATAACACCAAAAAAGAGTGATCCACCCCCTACATATACCTCTGCCTCCAGCCCCCAACCGCCACCCGCGGGACATTCAGCTTCTCATCCACTACCCTCCCCATCGCCATGCCCTCATCCTCACTATCCTCTCCATCCTCCTCATCATCGGCATCATTGTACCCATGCACGCTCGCCGTCCCTGTATCATTCGCCGACCCGTGCCACGAACTCGCTACCAGCACCGGTGCATTCGGATGCCATCCGACATCCCTCACAATGGTATTCCACTCATTCTCAAAGCTGTGCATTCTATACCGCCTTGTCCTCAGTCTCGCGCTGGTCCCAGTGGCTGACTCGGTAGCCTTTTGTACATCAATCGTCTTCGCGAGTGTGGCGTCCATGTTCCAGATGTAGACATGCCCATCTGCACTTCCAGAGTAGACATAGCGACTGTCTGTGCTATTAGGCGGCGAGAAGTGGCACCTGATGAGTGTTCTCTGAACCTTGTGCCCACGGAAGGTCACGACCGAGTTGTCATGGGGGTGTTGGTACCACCGGGAGTCGTCGTATTCTTGCCAGCGGTAGTCGAACTGATAATCTGGAGATTGCGTGATGGCTGTTGGATTTGTTGACTGGAAGGTGGAGGTAGACATTGCTTTGCGCAAATCCCACAGTTTCATTGACTGGTCTTTGCCGTTGGAAAGAATGTACCGACCATCCTGCTTGCTGTCGATGTAGGTGAGCCCTTCGGTGTGTCCTACGAAAGCCCCAGCTGGGCGGCCATCACCGATAGAGCGGGTGTCCCATACTTTGATGGTACTGAGAGAGACAACAGTTAGTTACGTGATCTGGGATTTGCCAGGCAGGAAAGAAGACGCTTACCAGTCATCCGAGCCAGAGTATAGAATATGAGGTGACATCTTGTCAGCAAAACAAACGGCGTTTACATCGTCATTATGACCATGAACGTGATGTAGTGTTGTGCGGGTCTCAATGTCGTACACCACCACCGAGTCGGTATTCGTGCCCGCGACAAGCTGACGTCCATCTCCCGAGAACCTCACAGAGAATATGGCAAAGCTCCCCCCGCCATACCCAGGATGACTATGCCCTGTGGCAAAGTTTAGTGTATAGGAATCGCCGGTATCCTTCGGGTCGGTGGGAGCAATCGCAACTTCAGGCTGCAACGAGGTAAACGCCAACCAACGGTTATCAGGACTGAGGTCGGCATCGGTCATGGTCCACTGACCAAAGGGGTAGTCGAACGTCTTGTAGTACTTCCAGTCGTAGACATTCGATGTGTCGTATAGCCGTACCTTGAAGTCCTTGTTGCAGGTGTAGAAGAAGTTGCCATCGTCAGAGAACTGGCCGCAGCAAACGGGATCTTCGTACTGGATGATCATCTCTGGCTTGGACGACGGCAGCATCTGCTGCAGCATCATTCCCCGATTCCTCAGCTGCTCAGCCTTACCGCCCAGACCCAGCTCTCGATCGAGAATCCTCCTTGAAATGTCCTTATGCCTCCGATCACGGATGTCAAACGACCCAAACGCGCCCGACTCCATCAGCTTCCTCCCTTCTTCACTCGGCACCTTCGGAAACCTATCCGGGTCTTGTCTGTTTGTCCGCCGCTGGTACATCATCTCATCAACTTCAGCATCGTCAAATATAAGGTCTGTAAGATCATGCCCTCTCAGCAAAGCTAGAATCTGGCGTTGGCTTAGCCCAACTCCCGAGGCACCTAAAAGTCATCAGTCAAAATCCCACCAAACTCCCATGCAGAAGAACTCACCGTTCCCAACAATCCTCACAATCCTCCTAAACAACTGATTCCCCTCCCCATCTTCAGCAGTAGGGTGATCGTCGTCATCATCATCATCCTCGGTACCTCTAACGGGGATCTGCTCCACCAACACCTCCAACTCGAGCCCCTCCGCATCCCCAGACTCATGAAGCCGCGCGTGCTCCTCCAGTTCTTCCCTTAACAACTCATCATAATACGCCTGGTCATGTTCCCCCTCCCCATCTTCCTCCCGCTCTCGGATAGCGTCATACACCGACTCCGGGATGTGGGAGGTCCAGTCGTCGGAATCCAGCGGGCCGCCATCGTTGGGGTCACCGCGGTAGTTGTCGCTACTCATGATGTCGTATTTCTCGATGAAGATTGATGATTCTTTTTGATGTTCAAAAGTCAAAGCGTGGCTGTTATCTCAACCAGTAAAGCCAGGTCTGGTTTGAGAGGCAAGTCGATTGATAATCAGCAAGGGGTACCAGTCCTCCCTCCAAATGATTCAAATGCGCCTTGGAAGATTGCTACGGCTCGGCAAACAGACAAATTTCAAAAGCGCATCATAGAAAAGGAAGGGACCGATTGCTTCTTTGAACTGAACGGGGCGATGTCTCGTGGATGGCACATGGCACTTCACCCGACTCACCGGCCGTACCAGAGCCACGAGCTACCTATCACCCACCCTTCCCGCACTGAACATCCCGCCGATAGTGACGACATTGCTGGGACAAATCGGATGCTGAGCTCTGCGTAAGAACCCGCTGCTCGGGCCGCGGAGTTAAGACCCGGAGTTAGTCTGTGAGGGGGTGTGAGGGGGCAATCAATCGGCCTGGGGTTTGGTGATCGCGCTGACAAAGCAGATCACAGCGGGTTCCATCCAACCCTAACCCTTTCTCAACCACCTCCTGAGTCTCTCCCTCATTTTCAACATACACAATCAATCTGCTACATTCTGCTGTCCCTCCAATATCTTTCTCAGTATATCCATCTATATTCACCCAAACCCTACCACCAAACCCCCATCAAGTCCACACATTACCCCTCTTGACTCACATGCCGTGCTTGCCCAACCAAACGCTTGTCGGCATGACTCCATCTCTCTCAGCTCCCCCACATATAACCCAATAAGCTGACGCCACATCTCACACAAACAAAGAACTCCATAACAAAAGTTCCAAACGGCCGTGTGGTGTAGTGGTAGCATACTTGCTTTGGGAAAATTTCCTCTCAAAAGCTGTTGCAAGTGGTCCCAGGTTCGAGCCCTGGCTCGGCCCCAATGTTTTGTTCGGCGAACACACCAACATTTTGGTGTTGATGTCCTTCTTTCTCCATGATTCTTTTTTTGGTGGATCGTGAGATTGGAAAGCATAAAAGTTACACAACCCGACAAGGCACAAAGTCAACATCACATTCACATCATGTCCTTTCATCGTGGCGAAATTCTCCTGTATTCATCTCTCTATCCAAATCATCATCTATCAAGCTCACCCAAATCTATTCCACTTTTAATCATCATCCCAATGCCTCCTACTGATGATAATCGGCCTCGCCGGATCCCACGGCCCATAAATCTCATTCTTGTACTTTTGCATCCCAATCAGCCACCAACTACAACCCCCTATCGCCACCGCTGAGATCAAACACCCAATTACCATCCCAGCTAGCCCTCTCTTCCACGGCCAAGACGTCGCCGATGCATCCCCTAATATGATTCCTACCCCGCCCCCTGCTCCTAGAACCAACAACACGGTCAACAGAAAGTGATACCGCCAGCTTCTGTGTCTGGCGTAGGATCTAAACACTGGAAACAGGCCAAACACCTCTATGCTGAAGAGCGTCAGGGAAAAGACTTGGCCGGTGGAGGGTAAGCGGGAAGCGAGGACGGTAGAGGCCATCAAGGCGGCATTGGTGGAGAGCGAGGCGACGGGCATTTTCTTGGTCTTGTGTGGACCAGAGATGTGGGAGGGGGTGCCGCCAGAGTAGTCGAAGAAGAAGATGTTGATTGCTAGGAGCCAAAAGGACATGGCCCAGATGGAATCGGAGGAGGTGGACCTGGTGAGCGATTTGAGGATGGGAGATAGGCCCAAAAGCGTAAAGTAGATGAGAATGGCGGATTTGATGGTTGACACGCGGAGGTAGGCGCGCGTGTTGGGGAGGGAGTCTGGGTCCAAGTCGTGGTTTGGGCCCCTGGTGCTGGTCGGAGAGTTGGCACTGTTCTGGGAGGTTACAGAGTGAACTGAGGAGACAGATCGAGAGTGCGAGTGTCCTGGCGTCAGGAGTTTAGGTGGTGCTGGGTTCTGGGAGGCATTCTCATGATGCTGGTGGGGGATTGGGTTTGGTCGGTGGCTGTATTGAAGGAGATTGGTGGTCGAGCTGGCTGCTGATGGTAGGTTCGAGGTGCTCGATATGCTAGCCGTGCTGATGTTGTTTGGCAATGCTTGGTGAAGACCTGGTCCAGATGTAGAGTCTTGTCGCCTAGGGGGTCGGTATTCTCTGTAGATTCGCCCATCCCGCATGCTTCTTGTCAAGTCACCACTTTCACCGGCACTGATTTGATCTTCCTGGGTCATCCACCAATCCCATAGCAGCCACCCGAGGAACGTAGCAAAACTCCCCCATCCCACTACTGACACGGGGCTCACCCGCTCCTGGAAGATGCCCACGAAGCAAACGATAAATATTATTACGGAGCAGACATGTTGCAAGATGACGGTCGAATCGGCGACCAGGGGCCAGAAGTCATACGGCTGCACCCGTGGGTTGCGTTGAAGGTTCTCGAGAAAGGTTGCTTGATCGGTATAGTTGTCGGGATCTGCAATGCGCTTGTGTTAGGTCAGGGGCAACCATAGCATGGTGGTGTACGGTAGGCGCACAGGATTGCTTCACCCATAAGAGCTTCTGGAAGCGCTTCCGCCTCCTGCTCCGACTCCTGCTCGTATCATTGCGCCTTATGTGCCGTGGTCGCGAATCAAGGCCGGTATCGAATATCCCCGCCTGCCTGGGCGGTGAAGTAGGGGTATAGGCGTCCTCGGGGGCCAGATGTGATGGGTCGGCGCGGTGCGACTTGAGGCTCGCTGGGACGGTCGAGGAGCGCACCAGGGCTGGAAAGGGCTTCTCGAAGTCGGAGGGAATGGCCGATTGATGGAGGCCCGACGGAGGGGCCATGTGGTGGAGTCACTGCTCTCCCATATGCACAATGATATTGTCGATGAATGCCACGGCAGTGCTAGACATGTACATGTAGGGGAAGGAATCTGATGTGCCCGTTTGCCAGCAGCAAAGCCGCATTGGCAGCATTGGCGTGTGGCAGGCAATCGCCGTGCTTGGCATCACGCACGCTAAAAGCTTGGGCCAAGTCTTGATATGTGGGGGGCCCCACGGGGCACGCTTGTCACCTCACCTGCACCACATGCAGGTCCCACCGTCAACCATCCACCATCCTGTCTCTTTCTCATCTCAACCGCATCAAACCCCGCGAGAGGAGCTCGTCTTTTTGCGTCCAGCCATCATTCGAGGCCCTTGCCCGTCGTATTTTATGGAGATACTGTACGCGTACGTCTGTTCCTACAAACATGGGTCATCAGGACCATCCTGCAAGAACAACTCCTACGACGCGTCAGCTACTCACGATGGATCATCATCACCAACATATCGCCAAAAGCAGCTGCCACTTTTATGGTTTCATTGACCTCGAAGATTAAACATGCAACTCTTCCAGGCACAGGACCAGGATCCCGCCTTTCGGACCGCCTGTGTAACCCAACAAAAGACCCGGTTCACCCTCCAAGAAGTGTGTACCTTATGCATGAAGGGGTCAAGCTTTCCTGTTCTCCTCCCGAGCGGCATCCGGGCCCAACACATGGTCAAGCTTTTTATGAGCTGGCCTCGACCGCTCCAGCCAACAGTTCCGCTGGTCTGGATATTCACTGATGCGGCGAAGATGTAGGTCCTCAGGGGCTGCAATTTTATTGCATCTCTCGGTGATGGACATGCCCTATTCGAGCTATGGCCGTGAATGAGCGAGAGAGGCATCCGTCGTCAAACTGGGCTATCAGAACCTCGTGTTGCAGATGCAGACGGGCCTTTTCCATGGGTGGTGCCTTGCTTCCGGCTCTACATATGCTGTTGAAGAGCCGTTGAAACATCTACTGGGGCAGCTGAAGCTGCAAAACTGACTTGCTCCTACGAAGCTAAGACAAATGTCGCATGAACCGCGGCTTTTCTGGGCATCAAATCAACCCAGACGGCGTCGTTTTGGGTAGCTCGTATGATGGGTCGTTGAGGTGGTCCGGAACGGTGACCGATTATTGAAATACGAGGTTCTTTTTGTCGCTACGACTTCCCTCTCCCTTTTCAGCACCCCACAAGAGAAAGAAGGGAAGTACGGGGCTGCCAAGTTGACACAATCTTTCCCGGCACCTACCGACGTGGATGCAACGTGCCGCTCACAGCTTGTCTCAGCACCCAACTCTCTCATCCCTCGCCATGGTCTGGCACATGGCCATTTTCTAGCGTGGCCCGCTCCATGATCAGCTTCGCTGTTTGCCTAACGGTAGCATACCGGTCCCAAAAGCTGGGGATTCTTTAGACGGATCCTCCCAGTGGCCGACTGGCAACAAGTCAGGGCATCATCACACTGTTCCAAGAGGTGGTCACCACAGTATAAATCCGATACACGACAGACTACCTGCCTTGGACCAGGCGCCAAGAGCATATTGCAATGCACTGCGGCGCAGTGGTTCGGTTGGTCTAGGCCCTCTGGGTGCATGGCGGCGTCTAGCACACCGGGTCTGTTGGCCTGGTGCGCCCTGCTTATGGACGTCGTCCTATGTGAGCTCGACGCTATCGTGAAGTGCCCTGTTTGGTCGTGGCTTCCCGTCTTCATAAAGGCCCAACCACCCACCTACCTCCGCGGGGCCATACGCCGTCCTTTTCAGCTGCCCCGATCTTCCCGTGTAACGGCGTTTGCAAGCTCAATTTCTGCTCTCCTCCATTTAGCCTGCTACATCCGTTAGCATTTGTACTCGGTGTATGTTCCAGTCTTTTTTTACATATTACGGTCGGCATATTCACCAGTTCTGGGCTTGCTTCTGCCAATTACCCGGCCCCGTTGACCTTCGAATTTCCTCATCACTGCGCATCATTCCGCCTCGGCAAACTCCTGCTCCGAGCTATAGCTCCCCGTCCTTCCTTTGTCTGGATTATTTCACTACCGTCACCTCCGTTTCGAGCTCGACGTCACTCTTTGTTCTTTGTCGTGGAATTACTCTTGAAAAGGGCTGGGAGGCGACCAGTCTGTGCATTCTTGGATTCGCCCAAGCAAAGCTATCGCACTTGGTCGCATAACAAAATGAGGTGGACCGGATTCTACATTGCGCTCGGCGTGGCGCATATGGTGACATGCTCGCCTGTGCCTGTTGTGCTGAAGGAAAGATTGGAAATCTTCTCGGACGCCGTCAATGGGGTGGTGACTGTCCTCCAGTCTCGGTCAAGTGAGCTCTCCACTGTCATCTCTGGGGGGAGTCAAGATGGTTCCACGCAGACACCAATAGAAGCTGGTTCGCCCCAGTTGCGACCTCTCACAAAACATCGGCCTGCAGAGAAGTGGGAAGACGAGATGGATGCGCCAGTTGTGACACTGGGCGATGAGGACTTGCTGGAGGTTACCGAGACTGACGTCGATATCACCACCTTTGCATCGTTCGCTCGACCTGGAATGCCGTGCCGCCACGGGAGGATACTACGCGAGAACAACGACATGCTCATCATCTATCTGGCGACGTCTTTCCTTCTTGTGGTGGTAATGGTGGAGACCTGGGGCAGTTACATGAGGAAGTGAGTTATAGTCACCGGCGGAAAACCCACGAGCTTCACTAACCGATTCACGGCAGACAAGAACGAGGCGCGATTCGGTTAGAGGAGAGCCCGGTTCGAGAGGTGTGCTCAATTCAGTCAGACTCTACTCCGGATATTACCCAGGATGTATCGGATGAGAAGAAGGCCTTGCTATGAAATTTAGCATGGGATAGCTCGGGCTTGCATCTCGATACGTTGTTCACGGTGGCTATCAGGCCAGCCTGAAGTTCGACTGCATGGCAGCCTATCTCCAAGACTGACAACGAATGAGTCAACGACCGGGATTTTTGAGAATTAAATATGGCATGTTTCATTGCCACAGTCGGCCAGACGAGAGAGAGTGTTGCTTACATGAAGTTATCTTGCAATCAATATAGTTGCTATCAGGTTCCCTCACACGGTTCTTGCTTACACAATA